TGTTTTCAAGCAGCTAGGACAAGACAAGTATTATTACCTTAAGCTGCACTAGAGGAATTTTAACTTAGCATAATATTGAAAATGGCCTTTGGAAAAATGAATACTGTTTAAAGCTAAATGAATACTGTTATGCATTGGTTAGAATAGGTAAGACCTCTTCCAACTTTTGTGAGACTGGCAAGTGGAACCTAACATCCAGATACTTTCTGGAGTGGCATTCTTGGACTAGGTCCCTGAAAATCTTGTGCCTCACCATCAACAATATGTGGTCACATGATCCAACTAGAATGTTACCTGAAACGCTTCTAGACTATTTCAAAACCTGCCTACGGTGACCTTTTTGTGCAAGGCCTCTGTAAAAGGGGTGTGACCGAATATCAGAATTGCCTGAGATAGTAAAGGGAGATATCCATTTAACATAAGACCTCAATGCATGTTGCAAGCTCTCATACTGGATTTGGAATCTGAGATTTTACACTTAAGTCAGGATAGTTGTAGGAAATGAACATAGCATTTAAGCTCTTGGGTCCCATTTCCTTCTTTATAAAATGAAAGGTACAAGATGATCTACAAACACCTCTATGTTATCAACTATGCTTATAATTAAGATATTTATGAATCTTTTAAAAATATTTTATGAAATAGGTATCTGTGGACATGCCCCAATAACCTTTTATTTTTATTTATTTAAAAATAGATATGTAGAACACATAAATCTTCTGTAATGGCACTACCATAATCTCAATTTAATAATTTTCTAAATTTTCCTAATTTCCTTTTCAAACTTCACAGATATCCAGCTATGAGTGGTGAAAAATGAAAAGATTATGAAAATGAATGAGGTCCTTTTAACATTGAAAAGATATTTATTTTCAAGCATATTTTTGGGGAAAAGTTCTTTGTACTAATCATAGTTGTAGTTTCTATTTTGGAACCCTGGAAAGAAATAGCTTTGATATAAGAACTCCAAACTGTAAAATGAAACTTAAAGATACTACATACAAGTTAAATCATTATAATAACTGTTCTCTCTGATGCTGGGAACTCTAGGGTTCTAGAGTTTTTGCTACCACCTGGAACAAAATGATGTTCAAACTGTTAGTCAATGAATCCAATCACTGTGGATACTTGCATTTATTTCTCTGTTCACCAATTGCTAATGGTAGGTTGTGAACATAAATTGTGAACATAAAAATCTGAAGTGTTACCATAATTACATAAGTAGTGAACATAATACCACTTCCCATACCTCTATCTTCTCTTGTTAGAAAAATGCCAAGGTTGGTCATGGTATTATAGCTTTAAAATAATATACTCTAATTTATAGTCCATTCTTAGCTATAAATCTGATGGAAACATTTCTTCTTTATCAGTTAATGGAGATATTTGTCACAAGCCTTTCTTTAACTCTAGTAAATTATTGCTAGCGCTTATAATTTTAATGCAAATTATGAAACTAACAGATGATTTTCTGTTCTCATTGGAGAAATCTATACCTAGTCATTTAAAAGTCATAAAGTTTCTGTGTCCCCATTGCTTGCACTAGAACAGGATGAAGGGTATAGAAGGCATAAATCAGGTCTACTTTATTCTCATTGATCTACTCATATTTTAATATAATCTGGAAATTGCAAAAAGTGTTTAATTTTACCAAGTGAAGAAAGTTCTCAAAACATGGGAGAATAATTAAGCAAAAGCTAATTAACCACTGTTATACTACCAATTGAAACATAGAACCTTTGTTCTGATATTTGGGGGAAAAAGTATTTTGCTATTTTAATATAATAACTGGAGGAAAATTTTATAGCCAATGTTCTTTCCATAATTATACAGATCCAATTTTACATGAGAAAATTTTAATATAAAAACATGATTAATGGCAGGGCACAGTGGCTTACGCCTGTAATCTCAGCACTTTAGGAGGCAGAAGTGAGGAGATCACTTGAGGACATGAACCAGTCTGGGCTGCATAGTAAAATCCTGTCTCTACATAAAATAAGAAAATTTATCTGGGCATGGTGGCTCAACCCTATAGTCCTAGCTATTTGGGAGGCTGAAGTGGGAGGATCACTGGAGCCCAGGAGCTTGAGGCTGTAGTGAGGTATGATTGCACCACTGAACTCCAGCCTGGGTGACAGAGTGAGACTCTGTCTCTTTAAAAATAGGTGATTGATTTTTATTGAACTATTATAGAATTAATTAAGAATTAATTAATTAAGAATTAATTTAATGGAGCCAGTCTTTGCATTTATGTTCCCCCAAAATAAGTAGTAAAAATATTGATAAATTTATGCTTCTCAAAACAACTTTCAACTAAAACTGTTATAAATATTCCTTCTCCTTCAAATGATCTTATTGAAAAGATGATTAGTATAATTGTTACCTTCTGTGAGTTTCTATAATGCTACCTGTGGCCTGTTTAAGATGACATACAATCTGAGGATGGATGTTCTTCCTACCAAGATACTGTATTTTACATTTTGATAATCTTTTCTCCTCCTCTCCTTCCAACTCCCCTCCCCTACTTTCTTCTCTTCTTCCCACCCTTCTGTCTCTTTCTGTGTTATTCACAATCCCTCACTCCTTCAATACTCATTTCTTTCACTTAAAGGAAAATAAGAGCTCACTTCCATTATTAAAATCTATGCATCTATATAAATGTATCTGGGACCAATGTAACCATTCATATCTGAATGTAACCATGCATGTCTCTTCATGCTGATGAAGAGGTAGTGAATGCCCTGAAGACACTGGACATATAGAAAGTTTCAACTAGATATTTTTTTCCTATACAAATTGGGGGCCTCATTTTCCTTGATTTCCATTGATCACTCTTTTTCATTTTCTTTATTGTTTCTGTTTTTTTCTACCATCTTCATGGACGTTTTTTCTCCCTGCTTTTATTCTTCTCTTAGGTGAGCCCCTCAGTTTCAAATTAATGCAATTACTTGTGAAGTCCATGTTTCAGTTCAGACCTTTCTTCTAATCATCAGACCTGATTTTCTAGTCAGTCAGTTTCTTGTCACAGAAACACAAGAATGTTTTACTATCTACCCCTTTGTCCTCTCAAACCTCCCTGCAAACTTAAATCCTTCACTGAGTATGTGGCATTACCATATTCTAAGATACCAAGGCATAACATCTTGAAATCACAGAAGCATAACATACTTGAGAAGAGATGGATCTAAGTCAGTATTTCTCAACTATGGGTGTTTAATGCTGTGCCTGCATGTACATGTGTGTAAATGGGTGCCAGAATCTTTTGTCCAAATATAATCTGACATAGAAAACCTGTATATAAAAGAGAAAAATATATTGCGCTGATTGAAGTTGGAAGAGAAGGAAAGGGCAAAATTCTCAGCTGGTTATATCCCTTCTCCCTGCAGTTCAGTAGCCTTTGAGAATATTCCAAGAATTTCCAATTGCCATTGAAACACCATTTGGAAATCAGTATCCAGCTGATCCCTTTATTCTATAGATGAAAGGTTTTGCAGCCCAGCCAGACCGACGTCATAATGCTACTAAGTGGTAAATCTGGGCCTGGACCCAAATCCATTAGCTGCCTGATGTCAATCAGGTTCTTTCTTAAATTATTGTAAGAACACTGGTCATTGACTTAACTGTCCCTTCATGACAGAAGTCGTGAGAGCTCCTCAGCACCTCATTTGATTCTTAACAATCTCTCCAGCACGATCAATGGTACCCACTGCCCCCCATTCACACACACTCCAATCTGTAGACTTGGTTCCTTTTCATTCATTCTATTTCCTCAAACTCTGCCTTGAAAATATTCCAAAGCTGTGGTGGAGACATAAGGAATCTAAGATGCAAAGAGATTAACTGACTTCTCAGACATAGTTCATGAGTAGACTCAAGCTTTTTCTATTAGCTAAGCTTTCTGTATCTTTTCTTGTCTTACCTGAACACTATCCATAAAATATTGCTTATCTCCATTACCTAATTTCCTTCTATATATATATATTATATATATAATAGTATATTTTTTTTTTTTTTTTTTTTTTGCCTTTGTCTTATATTACTCTGAGTAATTTACTGAGTACTTCCTCACAATGTAAAAATTCTTTCACTGTTGGAGAAACCGAAGTCTTCTTTTGCCCATCTATTGCTAGGCCTTAGGAATGTCTCTTGAAACTGTCTTGTATTTCTCTACCACTATTCCTGTAATTGTCTCTTTTTGGACTCTGCAGATTCATCCAATGAACAGGCCCCCAAAGCACCAGTCAGACCATACTACTCCCCTGATAAAATCCTTTGGTTTTATTCTTGATTGTGTGAATGTGAGTTCAGAAGATCTAATGAGATTCATTTTCTTCTCAGCAATCTAGTGCCTCATTCTTAATCCAGCTCAGACGCTACCTTCTCTATGCAACTCTTGTTGACCAGGCTCAATAATATTATCCTATGTGCTTCCATATTACTCTGATAGTTTATTAAGGCAGGTACTAGATTTTATCTGTTACTAAAGTTATTTAAGTGTAATCCCAATGGGATATCGAGGGAAAAATACAAGTTCCCCACCACTGGCTTTTAATGTTTAAAAGAACTCATGCAGGCTTCTTTTGAATTTAGAGATATAGATAGAAAAAAAATGCTAAAAGAAATACAAACCACAAAGGTTATCCTTAAGTAGCTCCTTTTGTGTTGATGATCCTAAGCCTTAAGACCAGTCTGAACTGTTTTAAGCTGCCTTAGTTGTCCTAGTACCCTTTAGTTAATTGTAACACTGAAGTCCCTGCCTAATGGGAAGTACTGCACATATTTAATCTGTATTGCATGTAAAAATACAATGATGCAGACAGAGAGCTCTGCATCACTTGCCAGAAAGAAATTTAAGGCTCCACAAACAGACAGGCAGTGCGGATCTTACTCTGAACTTCTGCCCAGAAGTGAGTGCCCAGAGGATTACTATCTTGACTAGGAATGAGAGTAGGAATGAGAGCTCTGCATTAAGTAACCTCTAATAAACTCGTCTAACTCACCAAGCTGCATTGGTCTGGGTCATTTCTTTGGTCTCTCGGCACCATCTCAGTTTGGAGCATGTTTCTTCTACACCATCCTGGGATTTTCCCAAAACAGATATACATGTCATTATGAATTAGATCCCATACATTTTTCTTTCTTTCTTTATCCCTTTTCCTATAGTGGTTGTTGACCAAATATTTTTTGACCTGAATGTGCACTATATTTTATGAATTAACACCAGAACTGCAGACAACACTTACACTTAATTTCTCTGTGCCATCATAGAAGATTTCCTACTTGCACTGTCAGTTAACCTTGCCTCTCAAATTTGAATTTTCAAGCCCCAATCTTCCTCCACTAAGGACAGGGTATTTTAAGGCTAAAAGCTCTTGAAATAAAGGTAAGATATACCAAATGGAAGAGAGAAAGTATCAATGGTTTAAGCAATAAATACTATGTTCATTTCTTTTAGTAAATTTCCTATCTACCTTAAGAAAATTTCAGAAATTTCAGTAGGTCTTCCTAAACTGCTCCTATTTGATCCATCACACTTTATTTTTTTTTGGTGTTACTTTATTATATTTAGCATGTATCTTCCCTTAGGTCATTTTTAGCACATTTTAATATAGGACTTCATGAAGGTGTTTTAACCCTAAAACATTCAAACATGGTTTCTTAATTTTTGAATGGTTAATAAATTAAAAAATAGAAAAGTTGACATTTGGTCCAAATACCACAACCTGTAAATGCTATCTGAAGCTAAATGATAATAATGCAATAATATCAATAATATTTCATGTAGATAACTAACATCTTTAAAAACTGTTGCTATTTTTCTTCTATTATTTTAAGCATACAATCTGAATAAAACTCTTTTATCTATTCAAACACAGATTTCAGGTAAGCATCCCAGCCACTCCTCAACACTTCTAGATTGTGCGTTTACTCATCTCCTTTGTAGAAAATCTGAATCAGCCACTGAACAATGCAAGATTAACATAAATGAGCAGAAGAAATAATTCCAATGAGTATTTGAGAGTTCTTAAAAGAATTTGAAATTTTAAAATAAATACCTTTCAAATTTTAAATAAAAACATATTTAAGGAGCAAAACCTATTTTCATATAAGCAATGCTAAGCATAAAATATTCTTGTTGGTAAACTTTCATATACTTCAATATGAATTTATATAACCATGCCTACTGTAAAGTAGATAGTGAAGGTTTCTGGGTCTGGACACTAGGAATGATTTCTAGGAATGAAAGTGGGCACTTTACCTTGGTGCAATTGGCCCACCCTAATCCTCTCCATACTTAAGGGAGAACACCCTACAAATCTCTATAAAATATATAAATGTTTATAATAGACTAATAATATTTAATTATATGTGAGTTTAACTTAATTTCCTAGTAAGTCCATTGAGTTCACCTTTATTATTATTTTATTTGTTAGTAAGATTTCAACAGTATAGTTTTGAGGTCAACATACTATGGCCTATAGGAAAAATATGGCCTAAGACCATTTTTTTGTAAATAAAGATTTATTGGAACACAGCTGTGCCCATTAATTTATTGTGTATGACAGTTTGTCCATTATAATAGTAAAATAGAATAGATGTGACAGAGACCATATGGACTGAATAGGTGAAAATATTGACTATCAAACAGCTTTTTACAGAAAGTTTTCCCACCTATGATCTCCACCATTAATTCAGAGGTCATGGATTATACGTCACAATTTTGGATTCAAAGAAGGAAATTAAAGTTTCTTTGCCTAGTAACTCAGGTACCAATTACATACATAACTTTTGACTGCATGGAAGCCTTTGCTGATCAAAGCATTGTCAGGGTTTTATGTGCTAGTCTTACACATATGACTTCCACTTACATAAAACAACCTATCCCTTACTATAGTAATTTTATAGAACTTCAGTTTTAACAAGCAGAATTTCATGAGTTTCTATTCCTACTTAACTGGAAAAGGGCAAAGAAGCAAATCCAATTAAAAGGACTTGGTCATTTTTTCCTTTGCCTTGCTGCTTATTAACTATTTTTATTTGTTGTGTACTATAATCCTATGTTATCAAGAACTTTCATTTCACAAATGTGGCACTTGTTAACTAACACAATTATATATAGTAACTAAACAGGTAGTCAACAGCAAAGCTAAGATTTTGAACTAATTTTCTCAGTTGGTCACCACTGTAAACTTACGCTTATATTTTAGCTTGTTCAATCCTCTAAATCTTGCTCCACTTCCTGCTTTATAAAATGCCTGTGTACTCTAACAAGGAAGAAAAAAAATCATCAAAATCCTTACTGAGTCTTCTGCTATATTTGCCCACCAGCTGTCTCACCATGGGAATTCCACAGATCACCAGTCTCACTGTTTAGATTTTTGAGACATGATGCAAATGAGTTTACTATAAACCGATGAGTTTGTCAAGTCACGCAAAGGAAAACATGCTAGCTAATGAGCACCCAAGGACTTTACCATGGAACACACTGGAGGAAGCAATGAGATATTTTGAGTAAGCCCTGTGAAAATTAAAAATCCACTACTGTATAATAATTATATTTATGTAAATGAATAACACCCAAGTGACAGTATTTTAAAGATTTGATTGTAAGTGTTGTCAAAATTTTAGGCTAAAATTCACATACATTTTTCAGCAAGTATGTGAAGGATTTTTATTTTACAAAATTGATTAATAGCAATTAAAATATTAGTATATTTAATTTTTAATTGAAACATTTACAACAACTGTTACATTGTATTTTTTTTAGATTACCTGCAGTCTAGCCAGATAAAATACAGCTTCAGCAATGACAATTATAAAACTGAGATAAACCAATATAATTTGTATTAATTAATATCAATCCTATAGTACAAACAATAAATAAAGACTCACTTTAATATTCCTGGGACTTTATTCATCCTATATATTTTACCAAATGTTCCCTCCTTCTACTGTTACTATTACAACACTGTTTTCATCAAGATTTAACTCAAATGTCATTTCTCTGTGAAACTTTCCTGTGCCCACATTGACAAAAGCATTTACAACTTCTACAGAAGTTTGATTAAAATTTAAGCACAGTACCCATCTGCTATAAATTGCCTAGTTTCTATGTAATCTGTCTTGACCATTTAAATTGTAAGCTCCTTAAGGACAAGGTCAATTTGTACTATTACCATGTTACACAGAGCCTATAATACAGCAATGACTCAGTAAAGAAATCTGAAAGAAATATAATTTTTAAATTGACAAAAATAATAAATGCTCCCAATAAAACAATTTGTATGTTTACAGAATCAGGAGGAAAAAAAAGTTTCTAATATTGAATTAATGTGAAAATGACATAATCACACACATCATAGTTTTTTATTATTCAAACAAATTCATGAGGCAAAACACATGTAGCTTCTCTATGTAAAGGTTTTTCTAAAAGCAAACCATTATCTTTAAAAATGTTAATAATTCTGTGGACTAAAATTACCTTCATGGAAAATTTTATATTTCAATAAAAGTCATCAAAAACATGTTGAAATATCACTCTGTCATTTAGAAAAAATGGCTTTCTGTCATAGTCAGAAATGTCTTACAGTAACTCATCCTCTTCTTTTTTTAAGTTATGCTTTCAAAGTTTTGAAATCTCTTTTTTTTAATTGCTCTTTTTTAATTTTAGCATATTATGGGGGTACAAATGTTTAGGTTATGAATATTGCCCTTGCCCCGCCCAAGTCAAAGGTTCAAGCATGTCCATCCACAAGATGGTGCACACCACACCCATTAGGTGTGAATATACACATTCCTTCTTCCTTCCTCTGATCTGCCTGACACCTGATGAATATATTGCTATATGTGCACTTAAATGTTGATCAGTTACAATCAATTTGATGGTGAGTATATGTGGTGCTTGTTTTTCCATTCTTGGGATACTTCATTTAGTAGAATGGGTTCCATCTCTATCGAGGATAATACAAGAAGTGCTAGATCACCGTTGTTTTTTGTGGCTGAGTAGAACTCCACAGCATACATATACCACATTTTACTAATCCACTCATGTATTGATGGGCACTGCGGTTGTTTCCACATCTTTGCAACTGTGAATTATGCTGCTATAAACATTCAAACACAGATGTCTTTTTTATAGAATGTCTTCTGTTATTTTGGGTAGATGCCCAGTAACAGGATTTCTGGATCAAATGGTAGTCCTATTTGTATCTCTTCAAGGTATCTCCATATTGCTTTCCACAGAAGTTGCACTAGTTTGTAGTCCCACCAGCAGCGTATGAGTGTTCCTATCTCTCCGCAACCATCCCAACAATTATTGTTTTGGGACATTTGATAAAGGACATTCTCACTGGAGATAAGTGATATCTCATTGTGGTTGTGATTTGCATTTCTGATCATTAGAGATGTTGAGCACTTTTTTATATTTGTTAGTCATTAGTCTATCTTCTTTTGAAAAGTTTCTGTTCATGTCCTTTGCCCACTTTTTGAAAGGGTTGTTTGAATTTTTCTTGCTGATTTTCCTGAGTTCTAAATAGATTCTAGTTATCAGCCCTTTGTTGGATTTGTAACATGTGAAGATTTTCTCTCATTCTGTAGGTTGTCTGTTTACTCTTGTGATAGTTTCCTTGGTTGTGCATAAGCTTTTTAATTTGATCAGGTCCCATTTACTTATTTTTGTTGTTGCTATAATTGCCTATATGGCCTTTGTCATATATTCTATGCCTAGGTCAATGTCTATAAGAGTTTTTCTAACATTTTCTTCTATAATTCTTATATTTTCATGCCTTAGGTTTAAGTCTGTTATCCAACATGAACTGATGTTTGTGAGAGGTGAAAGGTGTGGATCCTGTTTCAGTCTCCTACATGTGGCTATCTAGTTTTCCCAGCACCATTTATTGAATAAGGATTCTTTTCCCCAGTGTATTTTTTTTTTTGGTCTGCTTTGTCGAAGATTAGATGGCTATATGAAGACGGTTTTTTATCTGTGTTCTCAGTCTGTTCCATTCATTTATGTCTCTGTTCTTGTGGCTGTACCATGCTGTCTTAGTTACTATAGCCTTGTAGTATAACTTGAAG